TTTCGTTTAGAATAAATATAAATCAAAAGTTTCAATTTCGGGTAGTAGCATTAAGCCATTTTTTGAATTCTCAAATTTTTTGCTTATTCTTTGCTTGGCGTTCTTATTAGGAAACTGTACCTAATCAGAACCGAGCTAATGAAACTACTGCTGATTACTCCTTTGTTTTTTGAAGTTAATTAACTCATTTATACACCATTCGAATCAGCACATGATTATAAAAAAATGTATGGGTCGACTAAGAAATTATTTTGCGGTAGAGGAAAGCTCCGCAACTTAAAAGGTCCGTTCTTGTTAGGCACATTTACTCTATAGGTCTTTAGCTTTGAACATCATGCAAAAACTAACCTTTTACGAAAAGAATGAGTTTAAACCTTTTTTACGCTTGAATGTTTAATTAAGAATTCCAACCCGTCATCCATTGATTATTTTTCACAAAAGTGATCTTGTAAAAAGAAGAGAATCGATGCCGACAAGAACCTAGAACGTAATTAATAGAAATATGGTCACAAGCTTCTGCCTAAGATTCTTCACAATCAAGATCACTATAATTACTCTACATTCAGTTTTTGATTTTATTCGTGATTATTAAACCGTCAATTTTTGCTACTTCTTTCAACAGTGATCTACATAAAATCGCCGATTTCATCATATGACACGTATAATAAAAGAGAAGTTAGGAAAAGAATAGAAAATTTGTATGTTAAAAATAAAATATATTTCATCCTTTTGTACACTCATTGATGTTGGCGCCTGTTGTCGAAATTTTCGTCTTTCCATTTATCACTGCTGAGAACTCAACTGATGCACATTTATTACCAAGGTACTAAAAGGCTAAGCAGTGATGCATGGAGATTTTTCATAGGGTACTTCGACGTCGATCAATTCAATTATTCATAATTATTTGAAGTTGCACAAAGTTTGTATACGATGAATACCTCATCAACTCACCAATAACCAGAAATAGTTCTGTATTCAGTTTTGTTGTGATTCACTGGAAGGATTTGGAGGGTACCAATCCCGTGGTGTAGTCGACATTATAACTGGTGACGAATCATGGTTTTACCATTATTTATGAACAACAAAAGAGCAAATGTTTGGATTTCACAAAGTGATCCATGACCAATCAAATTTCATCGATACAAAAGTTTCGGCAAACGACTGGTGGCTATTTTCTTCGTGAAATCTGGTTTAATCAAGTCCATACGATCAGAACGTGGTGAAACAGTAACTGCAAGATGGTATGTCAATAGTTGCTTGCCGCAAGTCCTCGAAATAGTATCAAGATAGGGACAAAAGACCGGTCTTCGACGTCTCATTTTGCATGATGACAATGCGAGGACGCATAGAGCCGGAGTTTTTTTTAGCGAATTATTGTCAGAAAATCGTGCTGAAGTATATCGAAATCCACGATATTCTTCAGATTTAAGTCCGTGTGACTTCTTTCTGTTTCCAAAACTCAAAAATCAACTACGTGGAATTCAGTTCGACGACGATAATACAAAGTTGAATGCTTTAGAATAAGCCATTAGCAGTCTTACAAAAGATGATTTCAAAAGCTGCTTCGATGACTGGTTGATTCGAATGTACAAGTGCATTGATGATGACGGACAGTACTTTGAAAAACTACACTAAAACCAGTCTCGGAATATTTGTCTGAAGGGCGGGCGAAAAAACCTTTTTATATTCCTTGTATATTGTTTAAGATCAACGGGACGTCAACACGACGTAGGTGCTGATATTAGTCAACATGATGCCACCCATTTAACAAAACCGTCGAACGACCGATGCATTGACTAGATTGATACATATCAAATAACACCAATGGCGTTATCCTCGTCATTAGAAAATCATTATGATCAAAAGAACTAAAATATTAGAAGAAGTTAAGTTCAACCTTATTGTTGTGATCATATTTCGTCGCATTTTAGCTGTCTACTAATGAATTTAGTGAGCATTTTGATAGAAAGAAATTTGATGATCAAAACACATATTCCTCCAAAAGAAAATAGTTCATGTATACACAAATAACAGAAAGAGATTGATCAAAGCAGAAAATCATTGAGTGTCACCGTTATTGATTGGATTAGGATCATTAATTTTCATTTCCAATGATAGATAATGTTTATGTAAATTTTCTCTTAAATTATTCAAAATTCGAATACAAACTTGTTGTTTATTAAATACATTATAAACACGATATATGTAATAATTATTTTTTAATTTCATGAACCATGACACTTGTTCAATACTAATTGGAAATGCATGACAATGATTTGAGACTGTAGATTTAACTTCAATATAATCGCAGGTATTCTTAGAATCCTCTATTATAATATCATACGGTTCCCCTGATTCACTGGTTTCATTCAACCAGGTTATGTGAATATTTTTACCTTGTGATCGATGTTTCCATTTTAAATAATTGTATACCAATTCTTCACCCCAACGACCGGTAACCCAATCACTTTTAGTTGGGCACGACTGATCATCGTTTGTATGATGAACAATATCCGGACAAATACCATTGACAGTTAATAGTTTTGTTTCAATATGTTCGAACAAAACAATCGTTGATGCAGGTGTTGGACTCATTGAATATTCCATCCTTCTTTGTTGTCTCGATTTATTGATCTTCGAATGCGAATGTAAATTAGATTTAGATAGCACCGAACTATTATGGTCTTCAAAATAAAAAGAGAAAAACAGATTCGAGTTCCTAAAATGATAAGAATAATTAAGTTTATTTACCATCGTCTTGATCTCCTTTGCTTTTTCTATTCTCTGGTGTCATGTGTTTATGCTTGCTTCTTCCTGTGGTAGAAACTTCTGTAGATGATGAAACATTTGACGATTCAGTTTCAACTAGTTGTTTTTGTTTAGCGTTTTTTCGTTTTTCTGGTTTCTTTCGTCTAGAGGAAGTAGACAAATTGGATTGTTCATCTGTTCTTGGCACCTGACTTTGTTGCTGATTTGATGTCTCCAGTAGTTGTTCGCTAATGTTTGTGATTGTATTTACTAGCGGTAGTACTGATAATGGCATATCAGTGACTACTGTCGTTAGCAATACTTGCAATGATGCTGTTTTATCATTTTCCACGTCTGTTCGTTGTTTCAAATTAACTGATTGAACGCTTGATCTTTTAAGCAGTAATGATTCCTCGTTCAATTTTCGTATCAAATTTTGATCGAGATTGGTTGATTCATTGTTGTCATTTGTTGTTATTGTATTGATCTCACATTCTGTTGTTGTCATATATTTTTCTATTTTCCATTGTCTAACACCACTTGAAGGTAAGTCCAATGGTAGATTTATTTTTATAAGATATTCTTGAATTTGATCATGTTGATATTCATCATATAATTCATAAATAAAATCTGCCAATCTTCGTCGTTCAACATTAAATTCTCTTTTATTCAACGGTATTAAAAAATTAACCATTGCATCAATAAATTTTCGATTAGACTCTTTATATTTCTTTAATAAATAAAATTTATTATCATCAATATAAGCATCATATTTTCTCTTGGCTTCTATAGATGAATCCTTTTTATATACATAATGAACTTCTAAATGATCAACCAACCAAAATGTCATAGATTGAAATTTTTTATATAAATCAAGTTTATCAAATGTACGTGTTAATTCTTTCATTCGAGTATACAAATAAATTTGAATATAAATAATAGTCGATGAAAAAAATTCATATAAATGTAAACAATATTCTTTTTGATGATGAAAATCTGAAATATAAACAAACGATTGAACATATGAAGTTAAATTTTCAAAACGACACATTTCACAAAAAGGTCTCCATTTAATTGTTGGCGAATTATCTAGAGAAACGAAAAATAAATATAATTAGAACGATGTACAAAAAAATTAAAACGAAACTTACCAGGCAATTGAATTAATGGTATAAATGAATCATCCATAAATAAGCGAGCTATTTCATCGTCGTCTGGTATCAATGGTTGATCAAGGATTTTTACGAAAACACTCTTCTCCATTATTGGTATACAATCATGATTATTCAATGTATTAATAATTTCTTTTGCTATTTGTTGATTGATATACGATGATTGATCATGGGCTGTAACTATTACTGTTGTGTGTAAAGCAAATGTTTCATAAATTTTCCAAATATCATTCAGATCTTCATCATAGGTATTAGAAGAACGTGTCTTTATACTTTCTATTAATTCAAATAATAATGGATAATAATCTTTTGATTTAGGTGCCCGTGAAATATTTAGAGTATATTTAAAAAGGTTCTCTAATTCATTATAATAAATATCCAAACTTCGTTGTTGACGACTACTGTTTTTCGAATATTTATTGAACAAATTGGTTGGATCAGTCCAATAGACTTCATCCAAATACAAAAATTCACCAATACACCAAGTGGATTTTATTTTTTGTGCATGTTGTGGTTCATCAAATTGTTCTTGTGGAATATCATTTAAACAATATAAATTTTCTTGCGGTACAAATACAAATGGAAATTCACTTAATTTTTCAGAATAAATTTTTAATAACTCTGATACATACGAATATAAGTTGTCTAAATAAATAAGAATCAATAAAATGAAAACGTTATCATTTGGATAACAGCACTAGAGTTGCACAAGGTAACTTTTTACGGAGCTCTGTCCATCCCTACTCCGATGGAAGTGAAGCCTTGGGTATATCCTACTCTTAGAAAATTTGAGAAATTTTTCATTTATAATCATTTCTTTATTGTTTTATATGAAGCAACCATATCTATAAAAACTCTTTCAAAACTTACGAGGACACCTTTCCAGGTGTCGGACCGCTTTTCTAACGAAATGCGGTAGTTGATAGGTAATCGACCATGCTGATTCAGAATACGATAGCCGTTTTTGCTTGTAGGCCTTTCCTAATCGGTTACTGGAAAATTGGTATTCCAGAAACCTCGAAAAATTTCCAAGAGTTTTTCTAAATAAGTCACAACTGTAGTCCGCGGAATTAAAATGAGACATCTTCCAGCTCTCCACGGCCTTGCTTTGCAAAATTATACAATTCACAAGAAAAGCCCTAAATTCATCTCTCCTTCTTCTTTCTGTAGCTCTGATGTGGCAATAAACGTTTATGACTTTTCTTGTGAATTCTATAACTTTGCAAAGCAAGGTCATGTAGAGCTGGGAGATGTCTCATTTTAATCAAAATTCCGCGGGCTACAGTTGTGACTTATTTAGAAAAACTCTTGGGGATTTTTCGAAGTTTCTGGAAAACTAGTTTTCCAGAAATCAGTTAGGAAAGACCTACAGGCCAAAGCGGCTATCGTATTCTGAATCAGCATGGTCGATTACCTATCAACTACCGCATGTCGTTAGAAAAGCGGTCGGACATCTGAAAAGGTTCCCTCGTAGATGAAGTAACACAATATCAGCGGCCATTTCTTCATCCAGTCGTGCGTCATTTCGACTGCAATAAAATAAAGACTTTAAAATAACTGTTGCGACAGATGTCAATGTTGTAATAACAGTACATGTTTTTTAAAAGGAAGCCCTCTACCTACTGCACTCTTTAACTTCAGTTGATTATAGTGCCCTTATCCTATCTTGCCTTGCAGCATAGGGTAGGATAGGAATGTCAGACACATCTCTACAACACACTTACTCATGTGTTCTAATGTACTAATGAATATTGGACCTGAATATCCATTATAACGACATGGTGGATATAATAGTTGTTCTTCAAGAATTTTTCTTTTATCATCGGTTGACGTTTGTAAAAATGAGGCATCAACCTTTAATGATGTTTGTTCTGGATTTGACCAATGCAGCAATACTTTCATCATATCTTCTTGACTACATTTATCATGTAAACCGATTTTTTCTCTAAATGGTCCTTTTAAATTATTATCTTCAATGTAGGGAAAATAATCTTTGAAACATTTTTGCAAAGATGAATCCGTTTTTAAATGAATAAAAACTTCAGTTGGTTTACAAACTAATTTTAATTTTTCCATCTCAATTTGTTTTGTTAGTTCATTGTATTTACGTTGTATAAAATTCGCAGGAATCCAATTACTTTGTTTTAAAACTGAACAGAATGTTGAATCTATATCTTTACAATCCTGTAAACGTGATTTTGATGTATTTTGATTTAAAGAAATTTGAATATTTAAAAAACGTTTTATTTGATGCCAACATTGATTTAAACATGTCAATAGTGAAGAATATGATTCATATTTTAATTGTGTAAAATTTTGTGTTGTCGATTCCATTTCTAAAAGACTATTCAATTCCAAACATTCATAATCGATTAATGAAAATTCTTGATCATGTACAATTAATGATAATAATTCTTCTTCAAAACGTTCCCATTGTGTACCACGTAATTCAGTGATTGATGAAAAATCTATAACATACAAGACTGTAGAAACACAAAAAAAGTAAGAGAGAGACGAACGTACAACGTTCTCGAATATCAATTTTAAAAGAATCATAAATGCCTAATTCTTCTAAAAATAATTTAAATTGTGGTAACAATTTTTCTGATATAAAATCAAAATAATCGTCACTAATAAATAGCCAATCTTTAATTTTAATTTCATCCAATCTACAATTACTACCATATTTCGCTGTTAGATGAATGACAGTTTCTTGAGGGTTATAGAATTCTTTTTTTTGTGTTTTTATTTGTACAAATGATTTTAATTCTTTCATATCAAATTTTCGACGATTTTTTTCTGACCTGTTTTGTGTCATATACAAGTAATCGTAAATGCAGACAAGATATGAAACGAGTACAGATTCTAATTTTTGTTTCCATAAATTTTCATTTTTTAATACCGTACAAATATGTTTATCATAAATTTCATTCAAATCTGATGTATCATTATCATGTATACCCAACTCTTTTAATAATTGTAAAAATGATTCATATCGGAATGAATAATGTTTTTGAACATACAGTAATAGATCATTATTCAAAATCGTTAGATCTTCATAGAGATATCGCATATGGTTACTAAATTTTTGCAAAATGTTATCTTTTACAGGAAAAAATATTGTCATCTCACTAATGGATACAAGTTTTAATTGTTTATGTATTGGTAGAATTTTGAGATGTCGTAATTTTTCACAAGTTCTCCTGTAATCATCATTTATTGTTGCATGTTGTTCACTATTATGTAAACAATAATCTATACATAATAACCATTGTGCTATCTGTTCAATTGAACATGTATTAATAGTATGTTGTTCATTCGAAAATAATTCATTAATTATATGTAAAATTTCTTGTGTATTCAACTTTTGAATACCTTAAAATAAACAAAATTTATCGTTACTATGCATATGAAAGAAAGAGAAACAGTAACAATATTACCAAATTTATACAATAAATTTTCATCTAAATCATTTAATTGTTGATGTAAATAATATCGATCTAAATGTTTGGATAAAAGTTCACTTGGCAATACTTTTCGTATAAGTACATCTTTAACGTAAATACATTTACTTGATGGAAACCATTCAATTTTATTCGTTAAAGAACATGATTCAATAGGAAATTTTAATTTTGTTATTAATACTTTCATTGTATTTTCAACAAAACTATGAAAATATGGATCAATTCCATTTTTATTGTAAGGAATAAATTTGAGAAAATATTTAAAAACTTGAATTAAATCAATATTATTGGTATTATTTAAATTTAATTGTTGAATTATTTCAGGTAATTTTTCAAATTGTTCATAAGCCATTAATAACAAATCGGACATTCCACTCTTTAATACATCATTCCATATATTATCACGCATAATTTCTTGACGATTTGCTGGTATTTCAAAATCAGCTTGCAGAACAAAACGAAAACCATAATGGCGTAATGGCAAATAAGCATAAACAGGTTGTATTCGTAAAGATTGTTGTTGTTGTTGTTGTTGTGTTAAACCATCCAATGGAAATGCACAACACACATCGGTTGAAACAATATCTGATTTCGTGTCACGTGGTTTGACCTAAAAATTAGAGAAAACAATCAAACAATTCATTGAGAATGCTCTTTATCATCTACTTGCTTTCAAATCATCTGATATTTCCACTTTCTTTCTCACTACTAACCAATAGTGATGTGTCGTTGATGATGATGAACATTCTGTCAATTCTATAATATTATTACCATGATCATACCGTCTAAACACCTTTGAACATTGTTTATCACTGTAAACAATTTCAATTTCTTTTAAGCGATTTAAAAAGAGCAACAGTGGTGATTGAATATCACCAAATTTACTTTCCAAACTGTCTTGTATTTCGGGTTTTAAATTCAATCGAATGTATGTAGTCCATGAAGTGCCGTCATTCGGTAGTGGATTATAGACAGACAACCAGGTAGGCTTTCTAAACAACGCAAAAAGACTCGACTTTATGATGAGTTATTGATAATTTTACATTTACTTACATATATCCGATTTGTCCTACTGTTGCATCAAAGCAAACATGATAACCGTTGGAATGAATTTCTGGTCGATCTGTGACTATAAACACGGATTTAAAACCAATACCTTTATGTCCAAGATAACCTTGTTTGTGTTTGTCCTTTGTTGATTTTCCCACATTGCAAAGAGCATCTGACAAGGAAAAAAGAGAAACACTAAACATACACTTGAACGAACAGAAACGCCATACTCACCCATATTAATTTTTGTGAAACCATCCTCATTATTACACAATATTATCGCTGTTTTTGATATAATAAATTTAACTTTTGGAACATCCGACTGTGATAGTTGTATTAGTAGATATAGATTATCATCTGCATTTTGGAGTAGTTCCAAAACAAAATGTGTTTGTTCTGAATAAAGGTCATTGGCTAATTTATCTAGCGCTCTTTCAAGAATACCTTGAAGGTGTTGTACCAATGGTTGACTATTAGTATCCAAAGCCAAATTTTCACCAAATTTACTACATCGAATTTCATCGATATGTTGGTAAGCAGATGATACTTCAGATTTCGCTGAGATTGCATCATCCTGACCCAGTTCAACTGTAATATTTTTAGAAGAATCGGGAATGGAGACCTTCGATGAAGGAGAGGAAAATGCTACTGTTTTACTATTTTCATCTTTAATTTCGAATTGTTTTTGATTGTCATCATGATTAGTGGAAGATGAAGTCGATGTTACTGTTACCATTGTCAATGTCTGCTGATTCTCTTTTAATTGTAATTGCTCAATATTTAAACATAATTTTTGTGTCCATTCATAGATGCCTAAAGCTAAACCAATTTCTTCTAAATACATTCTTTGTTGTTGATTGTCTTCTGTTAAATCCCATAATATTTTCAATTGTTCGGTATCACGAAATACTTCATCAAGCTTTGATAATATCAATGGCCTAAATATCGTTATTGTAAATAGACATGGTAAATAAAAAAGAAATTCTAAAATCAATTGAAATGGTTTATGAATATTTTGATTTTCAGTTATCATTTTAGAACGTAAATCTAAAAACCATGTATATATTATTGTTTGAATAATTGGTTGTAATGGTAATTGAGTTTCTTCAACGGCCAAGGATAGAAGTTGACATGCCGCTTGTTTTAAATTTTGATTTGAAAGATCCTCTTCAAATTGTTTTATATTGGGATTGTAAATGAGACGAATAAGTACTCCATTAGTCAATTCCAAACATTTCATCTCTGGCATTTTATAGTCATTTCTAATTAAAAATTCTTTCAGTTGGCCATATTGTTGAAGATATAAACGATTCCAATGAGAGTACAATGATAGATCTGTCAAAATTGGACATGTTAATAAATATTTGCATAGATGATCACAATTTGTTATTGATGAACAATGAATTCCAACATCGATTCCTTGAAGACATTCATCACTCAACAGAACTTCTTCGTATCTAAAATAAATCAACAACATAAAACTAATGCAAAAAATAATTTCGATCATTACTCACTGTACTATTGTTTGCATTGGTTTATCATATTGTTGCTTGATCTTCTCACATAATTGTTTCATACTCGAAAAACCAATGGATTTTAAATCATAAATTTTAAATTTATGAAGTACAGCTTTTTCAATCAAATTCAAATGATGATCATTCTGATCTTCTTTCGTATAATCTAAAAATTTATTAACAAATCTTAATAGATCTGAACATTTAATACCGGAATCCGGTTGATATAAATACAATTCCAAATGTTGATCAATATTCTCTCTATGTAAATTAAAGAACTTTAAAAAATCACCACAATTAAATTCAGTAAAATCATTAAGCTGATATTTTGAACATAATTCATCTTCAATAAAAAGTAAATTTTGGATTGTCAATATTCCATCAGTTTTACAAATAATTTCAGAAATTTGTCGACAAAGTTCGCGGCATCTGTTTTGATATTGTTGTTGTTCTTGAAGGTAGGGTTGATGCGGCGATATCGATTGTTGATCCATTGATGGTTGTATTGTAGATATATTAGTCGGATATATTGGAATATGCTGTTGTTGTGAGTATATTTGTTGCAATTGTGACATTAAATTATCAGGTGTTTCATAACTACCTAGTAGAATAGCGAAATTTAGCAGACATTCGTATAATTTATTTTGTTTAAATAATTCCATTAATTCAAGAAGTTGATACTGTTCGTTAAAAAAAATATAATTTCTAATAATCATAATGAGATCGTCAAGTACAGACGAACAACTCTTGTGCACATATCTTTGCTTAAGATTAATGTCTTCTAATGTATGTTTAAAATTATCTTTTATTTCACAAATCATTTCATTAAATTTTATATACAAATATTGTTCCAGCTGATGATTTTGCCTTTGCCAAACATTGCGTCCAACAAAGTTTAGATTCTAAATAAAAATAAACAAGAATTCGACTGAGAAAAACAAGGATTGATGTCAACTGACTTCAACTAGGAATGGCCATGATGTAACTCGAATTCCCACTTCACCTAATTCTCGTACGTTATACTGGTACTGCAATCCAACTTCAAATGCATTAAAATCGATTTGTGGATTCCAATTACAGCATAACATATAATTGTACAAGTATCCATAGACATCAACGGATGTTATTGGTGGTATTTCACAACCGTGGGGAAAGTTAAAGAAAGAACAAATATCAACATTTTCTTTTAAAGGACCTAGTGTAAGATCATCATATTTTTGTTTATTAAATAATTTTCCTAGTATTTCGTCTAATTCATAGAGTGTACATAATGTATTTAAAGTTTGAAGCGCTTGTAAGAATGTTTTAATTTTTTTTAGTTTCTGTTTCAGATTAAATAAATTTTTTAATTTAGGTGAATAAGGTTTATTTTCCAATTCTTTATTTAATTGTTTCCATTCATGCACCTGATAATAAATAAATAATTCATGTTCTAAGTTATCAATACTAACATATCTTCTGTTTGTATGAATTCTAACGATCAACTCAGATATATGATTATTTAATTCTTCCAGGGAAATTTCTCTACTGATTAGGGTTTGTTGTTGCTGCTGATAACAATAAGGATAATTGGGAAAAATAGGATAAACAACTGGTGATTGAAATAACGATTGTGATGGAACATCCGAATTATTCCACATCTGTTGATTGTCAACTGACATAAATGTCATTGATTGTGATGGTTTTATTTTGTTTTTAGACGATGATGATGGAATTACATCGGGTTTTCTATCTGAAAAAAAGCGAATCTATCGGAATATGTTCCAAAAAACCATCATTATTCATCGAGAGATGGGAACTCTTCACATGAGTAAAAATCCATATTATTATAATTACCTGATAATTGTTGTTGTTCAATAACAATATTACTGTTGTTATTATAATTTTTGCTGGAACCATCTTTCAGTCGTGTGTCTGATGACAATTTTTTTGATGATTTTTTCATTTTTATTGATTGCTGATTGATTCTTTGCTGTTGAATAACAGTTGAGGATTTAATATTGTTCGTTCAGTTGGTAATCTGACGATGTGGATTCAATTGTATAGTAAACGATTTCTGCGTCTAAATAGTAAAAGAGAGAATGACAATATACCTGAAAACACTCGGATTTTACCCAAACAATACAAGAGTATTGTGCATTAGCAGATGAACTGATATGATTAACACATATTTTTCTAACTTAAGAACAACACAGAACAAATACTAGACATGCTACGATGTCTCACTGAGCCCCCTTGTAAAGCAGAAAATAGAGATGATTAGAACTGAACAAGATCGTCTAACAGATGAAGAAATGAAAATAAGGAGAAAACAACGTACTGTAAATGAATAAAAACAACACAGACCAAAAGCAACGTAACAGATATAAGCGTACTGCTTCAAGCACATCCTATCAGTAGTATCTGAGCAGTACATTTTTGTATGATAAAAGAACAATGAATGAAATTTTTTTTACAAAAATAATTATCCAAGGCCAAAACACATTTTCCTTCCACTTGTGTGGCTCATGGCGTTTATAAAAATGATATAGTATAACGATAGATCGAGGCGCCTAATATCGTAACTAACGAAGCATAAATAAACATAATAATAAGTTATGCATAATCGTATTCGAATCAGTCAGTGGAGTAACATAACAATGGTAGTAAAATAAAATATAGTGGGGGGGGGGGGGGGGGGGGGGGGGGGGGGGGGGGGGGGGGGGGGGGGGGGGGGGGGGGGGGGG